CTTATTTGATTTGTTATACTACTTACAAGTAGGTGAATCACTTAGAAGTAAAGCTAAAGCAGCACGTTCAGTTTCGCTTAATTCGTATATCGCTCTGCTTGTATGCTCAGGTGTTGGTTGAATCCATATTGTTGTTGAGGCTGACAGTGCACTCGAATCGATGGAATCTTTAGAGCATGCTGGTCTGGGGATAGCCACATGTGTTATTCTGTGTGGTGAAGTTTGTGATTCGATTAACTGTGCCACCGAGCAGGTGGTCAGGCTGATGATCACATGCACATTCCTCTCGATTAAGTTGCAGACTGAAGCAAAGAGAAGAGAATGTAATCAAACAGAAGCAATCAGCACTCAGCCCTCCATATTCAAATGAGGAAACATATATCATAGGTATATATATATACATATATATTGAAATTCTCTCAATAATTTACTGGATGTATGTTTATTTCAGCGAGTGTAAATTGAGTGAGTTTGTTTCCTGAAGAGAACAAGGCTGAATTGACAGGAATGCTCTGCGTTGATAACTACTACGGATAGAATACATCTGTCTGTCAATCAAATCGGGAAATTATCTACTTTTGATCAATGTTGCTTCATCAAAATTTCATCCCAAATACTACTGCTTGACTGAGATAATTCGCTGAACAGCACTTGCATCAGCGCTTGCTAGCCACATTTCCTCATTGTCATTTATGGTATCACAAGTTTGATTGGATGGAGGATTTAAGAATGAGACGACATCAGTTATAGAACCACTGGAAAACCTAGGAGTACTGAACACCTGTTTTGTCCGTCCTAGTCTGGGACTCTTTAGCAGTACGCAACCAACGGGGTTCGAACACAGAACCTTCTTGTTACAAGGCGAACTCGCAGACTATTAAGACACTGGGACCCGATCCAGTGGCTATCCTTTGAATTGTAACTTCTACCAATTCACAACATAGTGCGACCATTTCGCAATGTCTCCTTCGATGAGTGAGTCACTGCCTCATCTTCAACCTGATGTACCCTAATGGCCACGGCTTCCCACTAGAAACTCAGGAGACTGCCTGAATAGGGGAAGTCGCTAGAAAGCATCAGATTAATTTTCAAGTATTGATTTTGTAGGGGTTCAGCTTGATTGGATGGAGGATTTCACCATAAGCTGACAACAGTTAGAGAACCAATGGAAATCACAAGTTGTGATTTGAATTATTTTCGCTTCCACGCTTTCATCCACTGATTTGTACAATTTTATTTTGCAAACTGAACTTAAACGATAAATGAATGATGAATTTTAACTTTTCCTAGAGGAGACGACTGAGTGGTTAATTTTGTCTCAGTAGCACCCCAGCTTGAAAACAAAATACCCCTCCCTGAATATCAATTCAACAATAGCAAAAAAAGGAAAACTTGAATGATTCCTCCAGAATGCATCTTCCCATGAAACTATTTATTATCTGAGTTGCAACAAGTAAGAAACTATTTGAATGAAATTTAAATGGGACAGAACGAAATGGGAACATTCTTTCACATGACTTGGCGTCTAGATTTGCTCAAGAAGAGAAATACGTTCCAGTGAGAGTCTAGTGACTGTTTATGTGCGATGCAGATAGGAATGTATTAATCTGAAGTCGTGGGCTTGGTTTTGGTTGACATCTGCTCCAGCAATACTGTCAATGCCCACCGCCACTCACATGCTTGCCTCGTTGAAATGATCTTAACACTAGGTGACTCAGCTGAGGCCAACAGCATCAACGGTGTACCGGACCCGACTTGACGCTGTTCAAACCACCCACACAGCAAGATGGAAATATCGACTGTAGATTGGAGCTCTCTCTGATCAAACGACACTGGGAATGTTTCTAGGATTGTGTGGGATACACTCAACATTTTCTTGAAACGCGTCTCTGATAACAAAGATGGGCAAAAGTATGGTGAAACATTGAACAGAGGTGAAATGGTCTATCTTAGACAAATGTTATATTCCAGAAGTCACCGGAACAAAAATTACCCTATGTAATTGAAAATAACTATGACGATCATTTTAATTTATTTATCAGTAATGTGAGTATTATGGCAAAAATTTGTGAGACTAACCTTGACCAACTGTAAATTCATTTACAGTTATGTTTAATGCAGGTGGGCTTGGCAGAGAAAAATTTCTGATCGGATAATCAGCATAATATTCCATTTTGGCACTCAACTCATCGAATCGTCTCATCAAAGCTTCTCCAGATATTCCCAGTTCATTGTCATAAATTATACCTATGAGAAAACAAAATAAACCGACGGTTATCCATCCTGGAACACCTACTGTCGTCTATCTCATATTTCAACTTCCTAATCAGCTTCGACTGACCAGCTGCATCCCAAACAAACCTCAGTCACCTTTTATCTGGATTACAGTTATAATACACAAGCACAGTGAAGAACACTGTCAAACGGATTAATTATAGGAGTGCTGATTAGTTAAGTACAGGTTGAACTCTCGAAGAAGGGAACACAATTTCACTCAGTATCACATACATCTGGCTTCCCCATCCTTCTTAAATTAGAATAAAGAATTGCAGAGTATCAGAGTCTGTCTTTAAATCGTAGTCACTATATTCCAAGGATGGTGGAGTGATACTGGTAACCAACACATGAAGGAATGAGAAGCCGCACTGCTTACTGTTTCATTAACACCAGCACTCTGTACACTGACTGATCCGACTAACGACACTCATAATTATCCGGAGGATAAAATTGATTCTGTGTATACGCAGTGTCACCATATCCTGAAGCGTAAAACAATCTCATAAATATTATATTACTGAAGAACTGATAAATAATGGAAGTCTGAGTATAAACGACTTAGGTTATCCCCCAATCAATGCTACAGGGGAAAAACAGAAGCTTTAATTACTGGATTGGTTTCTTTTGTTATACGTGAGACTTCTTGCCAGTCTTTTGAATCAGTGATTTGAAGATTGTATACATTTTGGCATTCATTCATGTGACTGCTTGACCACTGTTTGTTTATTTAGAATGACGCTGTCTTAATGTACATGAATAATTTTTGATCAGTGAAACTCCGAAATCAGGAGGTATATTTCAGCCTCACTTGGCCACTCAGCATAATTAACAATCAACATTTTGCTTTATTGAAGAGATGAAGCCATCAGATAGGTTATATATAGTTATATCTATATTTGGGGGTAATCAGTAGGAGATTTTGAACCGAAATTTCATGCTTTCTGTCACTCATCAGCAAGGATAATCTGCAAGTCATTGATATTCAAAACGACATCACTTAGTTCTGCAATCAGAGACACTTCCATCGAAACCTTCATGCTTCCCAATGATTGTCTCCAACAACTTAATGTCATTTCAAGTGGTGGGTCACCTAATAGGTCATAATGTCATCGGTGAGTATTTGTCCTCACACCTCACCTAACTTAGTCAACATCAGTCGGCACAACTTCCCACCAGAACTTCAGACGATCTTATCCACTAGTGAGTGAGACACTAATGGAGTGGGGGTCATGGGTACTGCGTGTACTGTGTGTACTGTGAGGAGTCTCAGGTATAGACCAAAAGGCTGTTTAAAGCTCTCTGGGTTTAGTAGCTCTTTAACTGACATCAGGACGTGATCAGTCTTGAAATCCAATCGAATCCGTTTCCGAGTTGTTTATTTATTAGTCTTCTTCCTATCACACTAGACATAAATGCATAGAGTAATACTGAGACCTGAAATATCAACTGTGTTCATTTGATAAAAGAGTCGATTAAACCTGTTCATATTTGACAAGTGAAGAGCGAGTGGATAGATGAAAGAAGAATTCTACTGATGAAAGGAGCCAACGACAGAAACGCTGACTGATTCACCATTGTGGTAGAGCATTTTTATTTGACAGTTGTTGGTCAGAAGGCAGTTGAACGACTACTAAGAAACAGTCACATTCCACTACAGTCGAACAGTGTAATCATATTTTCAGGCTTTCGGCTGATGCGTGATAAGTGTTCAGTAGAAGTGACACTCAGCTTACACCTAATTGGATATGACTACAACCCATTCGATATTCTCCTCATAGGGTTGCTGTATAGTTTGAAGAAAATTTAAAAGCATACGGAGCAGAGTACAGTGGATTCATATTATTTGGTCAGTGTCTTATTTACTGCTACTTTTTATTCTTCCGATGGAGAGGAGAAAGAAGAGTTCATCTATAACTTCCTGAAAGCATACCAAATAATCTACGCTTTAAAGGAGGTAAACCTATGAACAGTGAGTGAAAAAAGTAGTGAGACAACGCAACTGCCTTCTATCGCTGAAAATATTCCCAATTGTGGTGGACTTGTGGATTATGCGTCAGACTGTTCATTGGGAGTGAGAAGACAGGAATACTCTCGACTGATAAAATACTCTAAAAGGTCTGCATTTCGCTCATGGGTGATGATTTATATTTAATATCAAACACAAAAACGAAGACATGCAGGCTAGTTGAAGAAGCAGCGAAGGTTGAACTTCGACTGAACACAGAAAAGGCGGAGGTGATGGAAATAGCCACGCACTGACCACAACAACAACTGCCAGCATCGGTCACCCTCAACAGAATACATTTGAAAGATGTCACTTCCTTCACTTATCTAGGAAGAATTGTTCAACCACAGGCAATCGGAAGGGATGAAGATGTCAAAACCAGATAGCCAGAATCGGAAATGCAATATACACCTTCACCAATGTGAAGTCAATCAGTGCTTCTATATGGGTCATAAACTGGTTCGTCGCATACGAAAAGCATTTCCAACAAGTTTTTGTATTCCTTCACGTTCCCAGTGGAAGATAGGGCTTCAAACTAGGGACTTGAAGTTTTGATAGGAATGGCGTTTATTTTTACGGGATGGCCTCATGCCCAACATTCTCACTTTATCAGTCTTGTTGGCTTAGAGAGGTTTGGAAGTGAGTTAACCGGGGATTGAACCTTGAACCACCGGAGTGGTTGGCGAGCAGTCTGCCGCTGTGTCACCGAAGTACTTTCAACAGCCTATAGACTTTTATTAACAGCTGACCCCTTCAACGGATTCCATACTGAAGATCAAATGGCCAACCGTTGAGAATGAATCGGCAACAGGAAACTGTGGGAACAAACCACCCAAAATCCGACCGCTCAACAAATAGGCATAAGTAAATAGGGATAGATCGGGCACACACTGACGAGAAGGTCGGCTGACATCCATCGCAATGCAGGGCATTGCTCGTGTAGAATCCCAGCCCTTTGTTTCACACGGAACCCAAGGAAACAATAGCAATTATAATAAGATTTTGAACAACTAGGTCACGAGACGCCTGACTAATTAAGGACATTAGGTAGACAGACTTTTGAATTCATTCAAAATAATGAGCAACTGAAAGGTGATCACACGATAAGAAACTCATCAATTAGTGAAAACCATCTGAAATCAGGTCATTCATCACCATTCCATTTATCCTTTAAAGTAATCTACATACCCGAATTGAGTAACTCCAAAAGTTTTTGATTGATCCACTCACTTATGCGTGGTTTTAGCTTCAGCTATTTAATACACTCGCACTTATAGGTAGGTATCCAGAGCGTAGATATTACTGATTTCCTGGAATCATTTAAGCGTCGAGCCAGACTGAATTATTATTTATTATAAGTTACTTAAAATAACCGGTGCATTTAATTAATAATAATCTTTTACAATTTCGCAATTCATCCACTTAAAGTCTACCCCACCATGTTTATTATCTGTATTCCTATCATGTCTGTCTGTCTTGACTGAGCAATTTCTTGACTGGGCTTTCATTAGCCATTTTCATAACAGAAATACGACCATACACCTTGTAAAGGAAATGAAATATTTGAGGAGAAATGCTTCTTCATTGAACTCGAAACTGTTTTCTCCTTATGAATAAATAAATGGGTGGGTCTATTTCGTGATTATAAGGGCTGCAGCAATCCATAGCCAGTGGATATTCTCCATCGGATTTCTCTGAGAGTAATACGGTCTTACCTATAAACTGGTTGAGTTCTATGGAAATCAGAATTATTATTTCATCGCATTACAACTCGTCTTACTGCTACTTCACATATCAAGTTTACTTTGAAAATAAAATTTACGTGAAGAGATTTGATGATTGTTTGAAATGGTGTGACCATGTAAAGACAACAGTAAATAATTCTGGCTAGTGAGACCACCTAGTAGGAACTTGAAATGATAAAGAAGATTTGTGGCTGAAGTGGGTGGGCGATTTTGATTTACTTGTGTCCTCTAAGTTGATTGATCTAATTCCGAGATATTCACAACTCAGACATGCCTTGAAAATGTGGCTGAACCTTAAGAGAAATGAGGTGACAGACAATCTGTGACTAACAGAACAGCTTTGCACAGATTTAATTTTTTCATCAGACTAACATTACTAGATAACACCTAATCAACGAATCTGAACAAGAAGGAAAAAGCGAACGATGCCAATCAGTTGTCACCACTATTTACAATGTCTGATGCCCAATATTCACAAGATGGTGTGCTCAAGGTGAGCGTGTTCAGTTTTGTTTGAAATCATCCATAGAAATGGAAAATTGAGCTGGTCAGTCTACTTCAATTATCACAGGTTTTGGCCAATTCGATACAAACAGAGTCTGGGAAGAATGCTCTTTAGCACAGTTAAGGCGTTATGCTCAGAAGACTCGATTGAACAGGAACTCGCAGTTATCGAAGAAAAAACCCTATAGAAAATGTAGGATACCCACGAAAGTCCATATGAAAATAATGGAGTAAGAAGACACCTAGACCGAAGCCTGAAGTAGTCGAAAAGAAACCACTGTGTATCTGTCTAGCGTACACAGGGGAGGGGAGGGATATTCACAAAGACTGAAAAACGAATTAAGCGTGCATTGAAAAGAACATTTCTCACCGCCAGACACATTCCACTTTACAACATAGTATGCCCGTCAATTCAATGAACAGAAATAAAGCGCCCTGCTTTACATGTCAATTCCAACAGCATTCACCAATTCGTCTACACCTGCGACAGGAAGTTGGTCGGAAGGACTGAAAGGAGAACACCTAGAAGATTTTCCGAGGATATCCCTGAAAGTCTCCGTGTGAAAAGCAGTAAAGTGTTCTCAAATGTGATTAATTACCAAACACCCGATCCACAAGGGAAATACAGTGTAATGAATCAGTCAGGATTTTCCTTATATTTGACACTCGTTAACTTGATGCACTTGAATTGACAATCAGTGGTGATTTTCTACTGGAGACGGGAACATGGCACCAAACGCCTAAAATACCGAATAATTATCCAGTTGGCTATTCATCTCTGTTTCTTCAGAATTTATCTATAACCACTTAACGAAAAACAGGACATTTTTCCCAATGACGCCAGACATCGAGGTTCCTAAACTAAATAAATCCTAATGTAATTGAAAGTTTTCTTAGATTTTCCTGTCAGTTGATTGGACCGAAGTCCTTGGTCTCAGGTTTACATGTCGACTTCTTGCGCAGATGCTACGATGACGTCTGCGCATGTAATTACAATTTAATAGGTGTATGGTGACTAGCAGTAGAATCCAGGATGTGCATTTCGTCCGATTCGCTCAAGAGGTAGCTCCCGTGGTTCAAGTGTTTCAGTGGATAACGCCTTAGCTGGTGTTTGCAACTATGGGTACTGGGCACTTGGAACATCTTGACATACTGTAAGTCCCAAATAGGACAAAATGGGCGTTATCCTGGATTCTACTGCTAGTCACCATCCACCAATTAAATCCTAATGCATTTCAAAAATATCACTACGGGTTTGTTCTAATTATTTGCATCAAGATATATACATAAATATATATGTTCATATATCACCTTGTTTATGACTTGTGCCAATAAATCGTAGGTGCTATGCCTTATCACGAAATAAATAAACGTCAGTGCTTACCAATATTCAGAGTATTTCCATCACACGTACACGTCGGTATGGCCGACAAAATCGCCAACACAAATGCTGAATATTTCATTGTCAGATCACGTTTGGATTACTAAAAATCAACTACTTCCAACATTATCCTACACATTTGCAAACACATAGACTTTTCTCTCCATTTATTTATATAGTAAAAAGACGAGCATACTGTAGCTTCAGTAAAATAAAAAAACCGGGGTTGAATTTTGAACTTCATTCACCAAGGTTACTAAAAGCTTTACAGTTTCTGTGACCCAGTTTGATTCATTCCATGACTTACTTAATCCGCCCAGCTCAATTGTTCTTTATTTTTATTACTAATAAAAACAGACCCAGTTGGAATCGTTTTGCTTTATTGTGCTTATTGCACCAGATTTACCTACAAATTCCTCTTTGCTTAGAGTAATATTCAAGGCTATTTGTTGTTCATAAAATTTGCGCTACTTCTCACCCTAACACAGTGTTTCCTTCAGTTGAAAGAAATTCATGTTCAAACGCTGAAGATTCCATTCTGTAATAATAATTATTGTCTGGAATAAAGTGACTATTATTATTAATATTCATAATTAGTTGTGCTTGCTGCCATGTCTTGCTTGACCTCAAAGCAACAGTTCATTAAATTGTATTATTCAGTTAGTCGAGTTGTATTCAACATCTTGCTTTCTTTTATTTATAAAAGCAGCATCGAATACTCCGTGGCCTAGAAAAGTGATTCGACCTCATTAGGCTGAATGAATGAATGATTACGGATCTCCATGCCAATAAAGCCAATTTCACCCTAAAATGATCTTTTCAAAAGACACTTGTGCATATGATCCATAATACAAGTAATTCAAAGAACGCTTGTTGTTTCTTTTTACTTTTATTTACACTGGAGACGAGAAAATTGTACACACGAAGAATTGATATCATGTCCCATCAGAAATTGTTTGAACTCCAGGTTAAGTAATTCTCATATGAAATGAAACGAAGTTAAATGACACAGTAGAATAGGGAATGATGAAAAACGGTTAGTTTTGATATAACTACTTTGTCTACTTACATACCAATCACTACGATCTTGGAAACAGTTAAAATAGAACTCACCTCTGATCCAAAACTTACTCATAGGACCAAGATACCCTCCTAAGAGATTATTTCAGCAATTCAATTATGCCTCACGTTCACTGTCTTCTAATCTTAGAGCAGAACATTTATCTATTTATTTTATTTATTTTTAATGAAAACAAGACACGTAGATCAGCGAAGAGTTTCTTTTCGGCGAATACATTTTCTTAGCTGTTCAATCGCAAATATATATGTGTTGTTTTGTATGTATGTGTACATTAAGTTTGTCAAACAAAATTACAAGTGGTTAAGGTTATTTTAACTAAACAGGTGAAGGTTCATAATATAAGTCAAGACAATTGTGTTAATGAAACTAGGGTAGTAACAAAGGTGATGAGTTGTCACAAACAGTTGTTAAAAGAAGTTATGTAGTAATAATACGGAAAGTTTGATGAGTGAGTTTTGCTCAGGATGCACATAGAAACAAAGTAGATAATACGAAACTATTTAAGAGATCTAAGAGAATGAAAGAATTATAAGAGATTAAAGAACAGGCAAAGAAACAAAATTAAGTCATCACTGTATTTTTGGTACAAGTATGGAATTTTCAGCATGGATATCGGTAGCCCGAATTTCGCAGGCGGACCAAAGATATCAGGTGTGCGTCGGCTGGGGATCGAATCTCGGACAAGGTGCATGGTCGGCGAGAGTCCTAACCACTGTGCCAACGACGCACAAACAGAAGGCGTAGCAATAGGATTACCGATATCCTCAATTGTGGCATATGCCTTTCTGAATGGTCGGCAAAATATGACTGTTGAAACATTTAAGTCTACTGCATAGATAACGGCGCAGTTATGTGGATGACACTTTCACAGTGTTGAGAACAAGACGTTTATCTAGTTTTTCTTCACACACACGCACACATATGAACTCAACAGTGGGGAGGAGGAGGATAAAATGTGCTACTGAGGGAGAAAATTAACAGACAGCAGGATTAACTAATGATTAGGAATACATATTCACGAGAGAAAAGTGTTATACTGATCAGTGAGAAACAATCAAGCAATGCGATCATAAAGTCTTCACACTAACAGAAAATTTCTTTTCATCGTATATGTAGTGTCTAACGGGAAGAGAGTGTCATTTGAACCGATACAGGTGAACTGCAATTAGTGAAACAATTGAGTGTTCACTCTGCAGTCAACTGCATTCGCATTTTCATAGTGAAGATATTCACAGCTCTGAGACAACCAGGTGAATTAAAGCAGTAACTTCATTTTATTTTGCCGTACAATAGACGATTGAAACCGTGATCATCTAATATATTAAGACAAAGAGATTTTCAAACTGTCTTCTGACTAAATCAAGCTCAGTTTATTTCCAAGCTGAATTTCTTTACAGTCATTCGGCTGTGAAGACTCCTTGACTTACATAAAACCAGTGACTGAGAATAAGTCAGTTGACAGATGTTTTACATACCTTGGATTGTGTCAAACCCTAGATGAATAATGACAGCATGTCCATTACACCACCCAGTTCAAAGGACTGTTCATTAGAGTAACAGTCCTTATCTTCCATTTGTGTAGTGAAGCGCGATTTCAGTGGCTTATCAGTATTTGAATTCAGTGAGAAAAAGCCGTCTCGTTAACCTCATGTCATACTCGTTTTGGACGTTGAAGACACTTTTATGTTTCTGTAAACACTATCAACCTACATAATTGAAGTCACTTTTATATTTAAGAGAAGACACATAAATGCCCAAAGAATAAAATTATCTTTTATGCGGTTTATTCATTTCACTGATATTTTACGACCAATCAGTAGTATCGGAAATTCAGTTCTTCTATATTAGACAGATTTATGAATGTGTCAATCGTGCCTTCACGTGATCACTTGGAAAACACCAACCTCAGGTTTTACTGTTAAAAGATTGCATGCACTATGTTTCGATGTCGAGTTAACTTCGAATGACAACAAAATTCCGATTGGTTTATATGAAATCTTGTGAATTTTATTATTAAGCCTAATAGTTGCTAACGAAACAAATCAATCGAAATTCATACATGTTTTGGGAAACTTGGATCTCAGTGAGGTAAGCAGCCTACATATCTGATGTCTTTTGCCCAGCTGATATTTCCCTGTCTATTGCACTCATCATTATTACGAGGAAATTCTCAAGTAGCAGAACATTTCAGAATGGTGTGAAGATTTCATCCCACTTCATTAATATAATTGGCGAGTGTTAACAGCTCAATTTGCTGTAATTTGCAGTAATTTATCTATCGGTCAATTAATTCCAAATCCTTGCAACCGTAGAGTAAACTGAAAGGAGGCCTGATAAATTCAAAGCAACCACGACAAATATAACTGTAGCCCAAATCGTCACGGCAGACGATATCAAAGCACATTCCCACTGAATAGATTGGATTGCAATCGCTAATACGACAGACCGTAATGTGACTTGTATCAAGAAAACTTTAATAATAATAATTTTGTAATGACTGTCTGATGAATAAAGATATGGTAAGCAAATTAGCCATATTTGGAAAACAGTATTTCCCACTTCCTTCGTGATTGGTATTCAGTGTTACTTTTGTCATCCATAAAAATGCATAAAGTAACAACTCGTTTTACATATAAGCAGTCTGCGTGTTTGACAGCATATGCGAGACATTTCCTAGTTTTGCGCCAATATTATTTCGGATTTGATTGCAAACTAAAGCATTAGATTCAGTTTGCTGTGGAATTGTGAAATTATGTCGGTTATCTTTGTATGTTGGAAGAAGACGCTAAAAGCGCCCTGTCAGTGAATCAAGAATGAAATAACAGTGGAAATACTGAATGCCCCCATGAATGTATGGTTAATTCACTTGAAGTAGTGTATAGTTAAAATCTGAATTGAGCATGTGGGTTTTTCTGCCGTTTCTCTAAACCCTCTTATGAAAATGATGTCACTACAGGATATTCACAAAATGGTCAGTATTGTTTGGCGCTTCATAGTGAATCTCATCTCACTGTCCATGTATAAAAATGGTTCAATATCATATTTCGTTGAACATTGATTCCACTTGTCAATGTTGAAGACATATGTACATTTAAACCAGCCTGATTGCATCACGAATTCACAGGTATCTGTTGAGATAGTTTCTTTTCCATTACTGCACATTTTCTCATAACTTTCGTTATAACATAAGTGAAATTATTGTTATTGTGATCAGGCAGATGAAATTGACATGTTGATGAGATCGGTGGGGTAATCTGACTTACAAGATAACCAGTACCATAGACACCTTTAACTTAAATTGTAGTCATTTTATTTTCCACACAAAATTCATATCATATCTCATAAAGGCTAAAGCAGTAGCGGTACATACTATAGTCCGAATTGGTATACGAAGAGAAAAAACTTGACCGAATTTTCATCGGGAATGTTGGCAGAAGTAATAGAATACCTACAACTGACATCATGGATTCATATTAGCAAAAAGATAATTCAGATGATTCCGATGTAGGCGATTTGGTTTCACTGTTTTGTTCAGTACCTGCGAAAACCCACAGTCAAACAATACAAAGAGGTGGACAAGACTTGGAAATAAATTGAAACAAAGTTTTTTAGTCCCTGAGGAAATTGTTGGTGCTAAAATTAGGGAAACATAACGGAATAATTATATCGTAATTTGAAGCAATTTAGTCAAACTGGAAATGTGAAATGAATAGGACTAACAGGATTCAAGTGTTGGTTTGTCCCTTCTTATATATTTATATTTGTGCATTTTCTGTTAGTGAATTTTCAGTCTTTGCAGAACACAGAAGACGTAAACACAGGTAACACCAAAGATATACTTTGTTATGGATCTGTGGAAATTTCGAAACAGTCATAAAATGTTGATTCAAGTTCAGTGAATAGCTGTTAACCGCCTTTTGTCACACAAAATTTCAATCCACATGATGTTAAGCCAGTATATATATATATATTTGCGTATATAGGTGCACCAGCAGAAACCA